GGTTGAACTAGTTTATATTCCCACCAACAGTTTAAAAGCATTCCTATTTCTCCACATCTTCTCCAGCATCTGTTGTCTGCTGATTTTTTAATGGTCACCTAAATTTTCTTTTCTTATGGCTGCATTATTTTCCAGGGCCTTCATACTGTCTTTCAGTTTCTCAGTGTTCTATGCATTCTTGTATCATCAAATACAGAATATGTGAGATATCTTTCATTTCATATATTTGACAACCAGGTGAATAGTTATTGCCTTTATCATTACCATTTTGGCTGAATAAAAAAATAGAAAATGTCTAAACATATGCATGACAGTCTTTTATTTAAAAAAACTACCTTTTCAATTTACCATATTCTTGTCTTAAAAAAGATATGCTAGGCTGTTTTTATTTATTGTTTTTCTTTGGACACCCAATATTCCATAGATATTCTAGTCATTTCTCAGTTCACTGCAATTCAAAGCATCACTGTATTTCTCTTCATGGCTTTGCTATTTTATGTTATCAAGCAAAATAAACCTTATTTAGAGATTTAGTCTATTTTATCTGTGTTTAGAAAAAAACCCAAAGAAGCAGTTATTTAGAGAGACGTCAAAGCACATTTCCCCTGTGGAGTAATTGTGTGGCTTTACATCCTACAGCATGGAAAAAATAAAATAATCTCAAATGCACAGACTTGCATATGGAAAAAATGTCCACATACTGCCCTAGGGTTAACTGTAAATTCTCACTAATGTTAATTAAAATTATGTGGCAAAATTCCTAAATTACTCAATGAACATTACCTTTTAGTCTTCATCTTATTAATGCCCATAATTGGACCATTTACTGTTGTCTTAGATGTTCTCTCTTCAGTCTTCATATTTGTATACTCCAAGTTTTAATGGTAAATTGTTTTTGAATATCATACAGGTTTTAGCTGTTGTATTGTGAGGATAATCCAAAGACTAGAGATATGCACTTTAAGTCAAGTCTGAAGACTTGTGTTCTTTTTATTCATGGAGATACTGCCTGTCAGTAAATTACCTCCACCTCAGGTACATCACCTCTGAACCTATAGTCACCTATGTAACTAGGCGGGTGTTGAACAGTGAGAACACGTGGACACAGGGAGGGGAACATCACACACTAGGATCTGTTAGGGGGGACTAAGGGAGGGACAGTCGGGGGTGGGGAGGTTGGGGAGGGATAACATAGGGAGAAATACCAGATATAGGTGACAGGGTTGGAGGCAGCAAACTACATTGCCATGTATATACCTATGCAACAATCCTGCGTGTTCTGCACATGTACCCCAGAACCTAAAGTGCAGTAAAATTCATATAATTATATATATATGTATAATCACCTATGTAACAAAGGAAATGCTGAAGTTTTAATTTGTTGAAGCTGATAAAAAATAATTTTAAACCTTTAATATAAGTCACTGTGAATCAGTGAAGTATTGTCATTTGACTATATATCTGATGAAATAATATTTAAATATATGACTTGCTCTAAAAATTCTATGTCAATTCACTTTTCTAAGCCCCTTTTAGAAGAAACCATTGTTTCTGCAATTATGATAACCAGGATTTATAAAGAGCCAACTGTATATCAGGTTATGTGTGAGGCCCAAGAGAACACAATAAAAGCTTCTGCTTTCAAGGAGCTTGGCATCTGGGGGGACAGCAGCCTTGTGGAAATAGTTCTTATATGTGATGATGCTCATTGTAATAGAGGAATAAAAGGGTACTTAGCATGAAACAGGAGTGTTTCACATGGGGCAAAGATGGCAATGAGAAAGGTAAGACAAAAGTAGAGAAGTCAATTCATTGAGTCATAAGTTTGGCCAGTGGGTACCTGGGGCCCGGGAAGGATTAGTGAGGGCAGACAGAGGAAGTAACTCCTGCGAATGCATAAAAATGAACAGCAAGGGACAAATTTGTGAAACGTTCAGTCATAGGCTATAGACCAACTGCAGGTACTTAGGAGTCACAGTAAATGAGACTGGAAAACTAAGCTGGAACCAAGAACAAAGGGTCTTTAATATCTTTATTAGGAGTTTGGATTTATATAATAGGTAATGATCAGCCTCAGTCCCCACTTGCAAAACTATGGAAAGGTGTGTGGCCATGCAAAGAAGCCAAATGTCATGAATGACCTTCCTGCAGAGTTAGGATTTTTGTTCAGAATATTTTGCATTTTCTAAGAAGTAGTTTGGGTTATTGTATGGGTTATTAAGATCCTGTGTACTGGAAAAAATAAGCACGGGGGTGGTGGTGGGGGGTGATTGGGGAAGGAGAAGCTGGGCTCCCAATCCAGTTCCCTCCAGTTCTCCCACCATCCCCTGCCAGGGGTCTCAGCAGCTCTGAGGTGCAGGAGCAGCAGCACCAGGCACCCCGCAAGTGCCAGGGTATCCAAGAGGAAGGTCAACCCAGCCTAAGGGGCCGCCAAGAAAGAGCCAGAGAGGAGATCGGCATGGTTGTCAGCTAAACCTGCTCCTGCAAAAGTGGAAGCAAAGCTGAAAAAGGCAGCAGGGAAGGAAGCATCTTCAGACAAGTGCAAACAAATGGGAAAAGGGGAGCAAGAGGAAAACAGGCTGAAGTGGCTGACCGAGAAACTGAAGAAGAGTTACCTGCACAAAACTGGGAAATGAAGACTGAGGAGATTCCAGCCTCTGATGAAGAGGAAGAGAAAGAAGCCAAGTCTGATTAATATCATATACTATGTCTTATCAGTGGTCCCTGTCTCCCTTCTTTTTTTTTTTGAGACGGAGTTTCACGCTTGTTACCCAGGCTGGAGTGCAATGGCACAATCTCGGCTCACCGCAACCTCCGCCTCCTGGGTTCAGGCAATTCTCCTGCCTCAGCCTCCTGAGTAGCTGGGATTACAGGCACGCACCACCATGCCCAGCTAATTTTTTGTCTTTTTAGTAGAGACGGAGTTTCACCATGTTGACCAGGATGGTCTTGACCCTGTCTCCCTTCTTGTGCAATCCAGAGGAATATTTTTATAAACTATTTTGTAAATGTGAGTTTTTTAGTAGGTCCAGAAACATTTTTAAGAAGGAGAAAATACCATCTCATCCTCTTTTTTTAAGTGTAAATGCTTTTTTTTTTTTTTTTTTAAGAAGTGAAATCATTTGCTAGTTGTTTATTTTTTGGTACAACCACAGAAGATTGTGGGATATTGAATTATGGGATGCTCTGTCTTGGGTGTCAGCTTAACATTCCATAGGTGGGGAGTTAGATTTTATATCCTATGATGCAAAGCACATTGAATGGCAATATGGAGTCACAGTCCTGCATTTAACGTCTTTAACTTCCTTCTACTTCCATGTTGCTTTGTAATTGTTTCCTAAAGAAAACCACTCCGTGCTCATGGCTCTCCTTGCCAGAATTGCGGGCACTCTGTACCCTCTTTGGTTGGGGTAGTCCTGTTTTCCTAATAACTTTGTTACTGTGCTGTGAAAGATCAAATAGTTGAATATGTAGTGTATGGGCTCTTTAGTTGCAAATTGGTAGGAGGTACATAACAGCTTATCAACATGTGAAGATACTGGTACTTGATAAGCTCTTAAGGAAAATTCGATTCCAAATTTTAAGCTGGAAAGTCACTGGAATAACTTTAAAAAAGAATTAGAATATGTAGCTGTTTAGATTTTTGGCACGTGTGTTAAGAATTGTGTATAAATTGAAATGTCTGTACTGATCCTCAACCAATAAAATCTCAATTTTGAAAGAAAAAATTTTTGTCTTTTTTTTCTTTGTTCATTTTTAATGTTTGATTTTCCTTTTTAAACTAGATCATGACGTGCCACCAAAATAGACGATGTTGGCAAAACAATGTCTGTTACAATAAAATACATTAGACATTAAATAACCTTAAAAACCATGTGAAGGAACATAAACCCAGTCGATTGAATCTGGGACGATGTTTTCTGTACAAGCGAGTACAGGCATACCTCTCCTTAAAACTGATGTAAACAGAGGGAACCATCAAAATCCTACAGAAGGAATCAAGCAGGACGGGAGTGAGGGTAAGGTGGGAGAGCAGTGAAGAGAGGCCAAGGTGGGTGAGGGAAGTGGCAAATCAAAACAATACTGACCGAGGTAGCAGGACTCTGCTCAGTGCAGAAAAATTGGCTTATGAATAAAAATGAGACTGTGAAATTAAATTCAGATCATCATGCAAACGCAGTACTTGCTATTTAGTTTTAGAAAAAAACACACACACATTCATTTCCTAAAATCTGCTGCCAATTAATTTGCTGATAATGTCTCCTGGCTCAACTATTTTTTATACCAGGATGAGTATTAAACACTGTCCATGCTTTTTCATCTACAAAAAAATTTGCATAAAATTGTATTAGTTCTATGTACTTGTCAATGGACGTTTTAATTATGTGTATTAAAAAGGAAAATCTTGCCCTATGGGAGTCAGAAAAAGCAAAATAAAATCCATGACCAGCCAGTATGTTCCTGTGAAAATTCAGCAGAAATAGACAGTTACTCTAAACAATAAAAAATTAATTCAGTTAAACATATTCTTTATGAAAAATTGTCAGTCAAGAAGGGAACATATTGATAAAGTTAGTGACTGTGCTATAGATGCAGATTACCAGGATTATGAGCAGCACAAATGGCCAGAAAATCCCATTGGTGCATGCCAAGAATGAGCAGGATTTGGCGGCAGGCTGCACACATCCTTTGCTAGGTTCCAGGTAGTTGCAGGCCACGAACTGGAGCATCTCATTCTTGGGAATCACAGGCAAGGAGATTTCCAGCACCATCAAAGTGCATAAAAGATATTTCAGAAGTAGAATCTGCATAACTTGCTGAACCACTGAAGGTGGGACTGAGAAAGAGGAAGCTGGGGAACCTCAGGCAACCGTTGAAATCCTTAACTTGCTTCATAGTGTGAAATCTGTAAAACACCTAACAGGAATCTTCACGTTTAATGAAAATACTAACTAAACACTGCTTTTGCTTTTGTTTTTTGTTTGTTTGTTTCTTCCTAGTGGGAGAGATCTCTGAGATTTGTCCGGAAACCACTGATTTTTTGTGCCGGGACAAGAAGTGTATTGCATCCCACCTTGTTTGTGACTATAAACCAGATTGCTCGGACAGGTCTGATGAGGCTCACTGTGGTAAGTTAATCTGTCTGCTGTGTGGAAGCCAGGTTAGCAGAGATTTTTCTTTATAAGTAGAGTTATATATTGGCACTGATGATGGAAAAGAAATATTATTTTCATGCACTAGAGCAGATTTAGAATAGCCCAAATACTTCCTCAGAGTTGTATACCAGTATCAAATACAAATACAAATGGCAGCGCTTTCGTGTTCTTTACTCCTGTACTGAAAACTGTAACAAGTTTATCGTAAATAACACATTCTAGTGTTATTTCTAGCTTCTTGTCACTTCATCAAAAAATATATTTAAAAATTACTGACTGTAAGAAATTAATTTCAATGGAGTTTTTTTAAAAAAGGCTCTAAAACACTTGTGAAATAACCATTTTCCCTGCAAGAGGTACTAAGTAGAGCATTTAATAATCACCCACAAAACAGTAAAAACTTGGACAAATTTAAGCCCATAAATTGCAGCCAGCACTCAGGTGAGAGAGGAGCCCACACATTCAGAGAATTAAGAGGAAGCACAGCTGCAACTGTGAGGAAGTATAGAGGAGCCACATGGTTAAGAGCATACCTACTGACCACTGCACTAGCGCCACCTGCTGGATTATACCCAATAACTTCAGTACCAAAAATACTTGCTAACATACCCTTCATGAAACCAAAGACAAGAAGTCAACTACAAATGAAGACCCCGAACAAATCCTCAGCCCTCTGGAAACATCCTTAAGAGAATTCTAATGACTGTACTGAACCTACACTGAAGTTAACGGAATATCTGAAGTTAAAGAAAAAGCCAATGACAATCTCAATTGATTCACACTGATTAAATCACCCAATTATTCATTCTTTCTGTACAACACAGTTCGATTTTACAGTGAGGGCTCAAAAGTAATAATTGATATACAAAAAAGAGAAAGAAAAATGAAAGCCTAGATCAGGGTATCATGATGGCACTTTTCACAGATGATTAGAAGTAGATACAGTTATTATCTATTAATTTTTCTCATTGTGAATAATGTAATTTCTAATGAGTTATCAACCAAAACTTTTTGAATAGAATTTATTTAGTGATTAGCTGTGATATGTGATGCTGCATTGATTAGTACGGTATCCAAGGGTAATTGTGTCCTATAAGTTCACTACTTCTCTCAAAGTGCCTTTTCTTTAGTAAATGACTTTGTGTCACTAATAAACTAGCTATTCAAACATCACAGTGAGAGAATGAAGTGAGTTAAACATCCAGACAACTGAAGCTGTTTAATTATTTGACCTGAATAATCCGTATTAGCATAATGTTATGTTCATTGTTCATGTGTAAACACAGTTTTATCTATTATCTATAAATATTCATCAATCTGTATAACTCCTTAATGGATAAATGACAATGGTCATATACTGCTTCTAGATCCTTCGATTAAAATATTACAATGTATAACTGATATTACCAATAAGTACAAATGTCTTGAGGCTGTAAATGTATTTATAAAGAATTAGAATATGCAGATACTAATTTTAAGTGATCCCAAATGTAAGGTAATAGCAAATGTCATAGATATTTCCAGAAATTTCCATTAATGTTTTTCCTTCCCCAGCACTGTATACAAGCACAACAGGAAGCTGCAATTTTGAAACAAGTCCAGGAAACTGGACCACAGCCTGCAGTCTTACTCAAGACTCTGAGGATGACTTGGATTGGGCCATTGGCAGCAGAATTCCTGCCAGAGCATTGATTCCAGACTCTGATCACACACCAGGTAAATATAGTAGCCAACCCCAGACCAAGAAATCTACTCATCTGGAATTTTGCTTTAACAATGTGTGTGAATGTCAGTGTGCCTTCCTTATGTGTATGTGGGGACAGAGCTCAGTGGTTTTTATGAAGGAGGGCTATTCCCTTCTATTGCAAACTCTGAATTACTAAATAGACCCAGATCTGACACTGCTACAACAAAGAAGCCCATGACTCATATTTTAAGAAACACAGATTTTACTTACTCTACCCTAAGGATGTCTGTCATTCAGTTCCCCAGCTGGGAAGGGTGGGTGGGTGGCATTCAGATTAATGAATGCAGTAGGCAGAGATATACAACTGGTAAGCTAACGGTTACCCTATTGTGACAGTGGCCAGTCACAACAATGAAATGGCTGACCACCACTTTAATTCCCATCATTTTGAAGAACAGAAGCCAAGGTGTAAAATGGTAGGGGTAATGGAATGAATGAGTATCAACACAATCTTTACAAGTTTTGCTTTATGCCCTGTGACTTCAGATTATGCAATCTTTAATGGGTTTACAGTTAATCAACTCAAAGTACGGGTAAGCTTGTAGTCTTATTTACTCTTACAAAAACGTCCTACTGACTCAGAACTTTTATTATCTTAGAAATCTAGCTTTTATTAGGGATAAAAGTATCTAAGATATTTGTGATGGCTAATTTCATGCGTCAATTTGGAGGTGTTTTGGATGAGATCCACATTTAAACTGATGGGTTTTGAGTAAAGTGGATTGCCCTTATTAATGTGGCCTCATCCAGTCAGTTGAAGGACTGAATAGAACAAAAAACACCAGCGATGCAGCAAGACGGATCCCCAAGAGAATGTCTTCAGATTTCATCTGCACCATGGGCTTTCATGGTTCTCCAGCCTGATAGTCCACCCTGCAGATATTCGACTTGGTAGCCTTCATAACTTCCTGAGCCAGTTCTGTATAATAAATCTCCTTTTGTGTGTACACACATCCTATTGATTCTGTTTCTCAGGAGAACTCTAACCAATATAATATTCTTCAAAACAGTTGAAGCATATGCACAGTTAAAAAAAAAAAAGAACAAGATTGTGCAGAATTTAAATAACTCTCAGAAGATTGTCCTAGCCATTATGTGACTAGTGAAAAGAGCACATTTATTTTATTATTTATTCCAGGCAGATTGAATGTATCATGCTCTTCAGTTACAGTATGGCATTCATTCTGTTTTAAAGATTTTCCAGAATTCCTTTGATATGGTGAGTCACATGTATTGATTTGCATATGGTGAACCACCTTGCATCCTAGAAATGAGCCCTACTGGGTTGTGATGAATTAGCTTTTTGATATGATGCTGGATTTGGTTTGCTAGTATTTTGCTGAGGATTTTTGTGTCTATATTTATCAAGGATTTGGCCTGTAGTTTTCTTTTTTCACTATAGCTTTGCCAGATTTTAGTATCAGGATAATGCTGGCTTCATAGATTGAGTTAAGGAGGAGTCCCTCCTCCTTGAATTTTTGGAATAGTAGAATTGGTACCAGCTCTTCTTTTTATGCCTGGTAGAATTAACCTTTGAACTAAACATTCTAACTCCTTTTGACTTACCACGTTGTATCTCCCTTTCCTTTCACAAGTTTTTGTTTCCCTTAAAAACATGAAGTTTGTGTATAGTATAAGTTGAACAGGGTAGAGAATAAGTAAACTAAGATCAGTAATTAGAAGGATTTAGTATATAACAAAGTAGATATGGGAAAAGATGGATGATATAGTATGATGCTGTCATATCTAGTTATTCACCTGGAAGGACTTAAAATTAAATCCCAGTTTTATATCATATACAGCAATAAAATCTATGTAAAGATGTAAATGTAACAAAAACAAGAAAATTCTTGCAAGAAAACAGTAAATTGTGTGTAATTTAGAGCAGAATATTTTAAAACCTCCTAAACGCAATTTAGAAACCATTTTGGCCTCTTTGACATATAATCCAACTTTTAAAACCTGGAAGTCAGCTCTAAATCTAATTTAGAAAGCATTTTGGCCTCTTGGACAAAGAAGGACCAACACATAGTGACTTATATGAGTGTATTTAAGTCAGCATTGCTTTTAGCAGAAATAATGGGAAATAAATGAATGCCTGTCATATGATCGTGTATGTGTTCCTTCCTTCATTCACTTAGCTATTTATCAAATTCCAGGCATTTGGCCAGGTTCTGTGGATGCATCAGTGAATAAAATAGGCATAAATCCCTGTCACAGTAGAGCTCATATTATAGAAGGAGGGAAAAGATAATGGATAAACATACTAAATGAACAAATTAGACAGCTTGTTAGAAGTTAAGGGGAGAAAAAGAAAGGGACAGAGTATATAGAAATATGAAAGCCAGAAGATAGGTGTGTGCCTTGGAGTTGGGAGGATGGCCATGCAAATAGGCTGGTCACATTAGACCCTGCACAGAAAAGCACCAGTCAACAAGAGACCTGAAGGAGGTATGAGGAAGTGATCTGTTGGTACCTAAGGAAAGAATGTTCCAGAGCTAGATCAGCCTGTGGTTAGAAGGTGTCTCAACCTGGTTGCTAATGACATTTGGGACAGTCTAATTAAATAGGGGTCTGACCTGTGTAATTGTTAGATGTTTAGCAGCATTTGAGGCCTCTACCAACTAGACATGAGAAGCACTCCTCTTCTAATCATAATAAAGCCAAAATGTCTTTAGAAATTGCCCCTGTTAAGAACTGAGAGAAGGGCTGGGCGTGGTGGCTCACGCCTGTAATCCCAGCACTTTGGGAGGCCAAGGTGGGTGGATCATGAGGTCAAGAGATCGAGACCATCCTGGTCAACATGGTGAAACCCCATCTCTACTAAAAATACAAAAAAATTAGCTGGGCACGGTGGCGTGTGCCTGTAATCCCAGCTACTCAGGAGGCTGAGGCAGGAGAATTGCCTGAACCCAGGAGGCAGAGGTTGCGGTGAGCCAAGATCGCACCATTGCACTCCAGCCTGGGTAACAAGAGCGAAACTCCGTCTCAAAAAAAAATAATAATAATAATTGAGAGAAACAGCCTGGAAGCCAAAGTAATTTGTAAAATCTACAACATGCAATATTATGCAGCCAGTAAAAAGACTTTAGTCATGTATAGCTGGTTTGAAAGGATTTCCAAAAGACAGTGTTGAAGGAGTAACACAATATGCAAAATGTTAAGATAGTGTGATCCAGTTTTTCTAAAGCAGACAACAACTAATGCCACTTTATTTGTGCATATATATAAATCTGTACATAGATATTTCTATGAACGTGAGCATGGAGGAAAGGATAAAATAATACATACTTGTTTATTGACATAGATTGCTTGAATGAGTGACAGTGTTAAAGAAGAGAAGAGGGGAAATAAACTCAGTATAAAAAGAAACAAGGCTGGACATAGTGGCTCATGCCTATAATGCCAGCACTTTGGGAGGCTGAGGAAGAAGGATTTCTTGAGTCCAGGAGTTTGAGACCAACCTGGGCAACATTGGAAAACCCCATCTGTACAAAAAAACAAAAAATACAAAATTAGCCAGGTGTGGTGGCATGCCTATAGTCCCTACTACCCAGGAGGCTGAGGTGGGAGGACGACTTGAGCCCATGAGGCTGAGGCTGCAGTGCCATGTTTACTCCATTGCACTCCACCAAGACTCTGTCTTCAAAAAATGCAGAAGCAGCAGCAGCAGCAGCAAATAGCAGGAAAAGAAAATCCAGCATACATAGTGGTAGGACATTTGTGTGTTTCTGGAAAACGTGGTGGATATATTTAAGGTTTGGAGGTCTGAACTGTTGCTTGTCACCTTTAATGTTTATTTTTTTCTTCAATTTTCTATTTATTAATTTTACATTGCTAAATAATATACCTTTTTCTAAAATTTTTTAGATTATAAATAAGCATAAAAAACTTTTCTAGTAACCTCAGAGTGGTAATAAAGCCATTGCCAAACTGTTTGTTCAGACTCTATTTTCAAAGAAAAATAAGTTTCTAGTTGATTTAGTAATTCTAAAAATATAGTGTAAACAAGTTTATATGTGGCAAAATATCTTGCACAGCATGGTTTAAGTTATAGTATTTTACTTTTTGGTTGTATCAAAATATATAAAATCTGATTATAAACATGTTATTTTCTTGATTATGATATCACAACAGTGAATTTACATTTAGGTGGAACTTTTTACTTCTATAATTTTCAAAGATGAATATATGAGATTTTATGAGAAATTATGGGAAATAAGCCAATTTTCATTTATTCTGCTAAGATCTAGACAATAACATGTGGATACAAATGCCTTTGAGTGCATTAGATATTATCTGCCACAATCTTCCCTTATCTTATAACAGTGTTTGAAAATTACAGAGCATGTCTTCTGCTATAATAATACTAATGATACAAAAACTACTGCAGGCTCAGTTGAGAATAAGATAGACATATAGTCAATAAATATGAGAAAGTTTACATCTGTTGCAAAAAGAAAAACATGAGTGATCAATTGATGCCTTTTAATGGAAACATTGGAGACTATTAATAGGAATATTAATTTTCTTCTTTCAACATTTAGAGCTTATATATGTTCATTAAAGACCACATGAAAAGTTTTGAATCTGGTTATTTATGTAATGTTATATACACACAGTGTTTCCTTCAGATTAACAAAAAGCAATAATTCTGACAGAATACTTTATTATCCTCCTTACTAATCACTACTTGAGACAGCACATTTTACAGAGTGCTCTCTTCAAAGCAGCCTGATTATATCATTCTTGATATACTAATATGGCTGATTGAGCCTGTTTAGGCATCTCTGAGATGATGGACTGCTGAATAAATTGTAAGGACATTAATTAATTTTGACTCTCTGGGAAAAACAAAAGTCTTCATGAGAAGGCCAACAGATTCAAAGAGTCTGTTTCTATGCATTGCAACATAGCTGTTAATTAAAATTGTATTTTAATTAAATACAATTGCACTTTGCACTTATTG